CTGACACGCCCACCATGGAACAACAACATTCTACACGCTATGCTAAACTAGCTTACCAGAAAAACCAACAGCAGCACACACGCTACAAACTCTCACTGCAGTGTTTAGGTAGCTATTCCCTACTGATTCAAACAGGGCGCAAGGTATATTTATAGCCACGGATATGAGACCCTACTCTGGAGTGGATAACCAGGCTGTACGAACATGCTTAATGCTATTGAGCCCTGTGACACTACTCCTGCACGAGCCCATTTCTCCAGAGCATAATTCCTGCTTTGTAAAAGAATACAAAAGCCCAAACATCAAATGTCCGAAGCGCACGCTGTTGCTCTGACAGCAGACGGCCGGATGTCACGGGCTACACAAAGCTAGCTGACTGTACGACCAGTGGTGTATAAAGTACCCAAAAGCCATACTTGAGTAAAAGTAAAGATACCTTACTGGAAAATGACTCCAGTAAAAGTGAAAGTCACCTATTAGAATACTACTTGAGTAAAAGTCTTAAAGTATCTGATATTTATTGTACTTAAGTATCAAAAGTAATTTTCTGATATTAAATGTACTTAAGTATTGAAAGTAAAAGTACAAGTAAATGCTGTTAATAAAAAAGCAAAGTGTCAGAATTTTGAGAATTATGAAGTTTATTCTTTTAAGTGCTGTGGCTCCATGACCAAGGACATATAGCTGTGTTGACAATAATTGGGTTGGCTGTGATCCATCCAGGAGCAACAATGTTCAACATAATATATTGTACATAAGTATACTTTTGCATCTACTATGAACTTATCATCATAATTCTCCGAAAAGCAATATGACACTATGAAGGAGTTGTAACAGTGCGTTTATAAGTATGCTCATTCCGACTAGAGGATGTAGAGGGCAAATGCATAATATTGTGTTCAGCAAAACATATCGACTTGATGCATCAGGTCAGTGTTGTGAGAAAGGACACCTGCCTTGTAAACTCCTATGGGCCTGATTTGAACACAATAGGCAAAGGTTTTGCTCAAGCTGAATCTGCAATTGGGCGACTGCTACCATCATAACTCCATCTGATCATCCACAAAATGACTCAAATATCAAAACATGATCAATACTAAAGCAGCACCGAAAGTAACAACCCAGTCATTACTTCAAACTGAAAAATGTCCTGTTCATCTTCAAAAGAAGTTGGTTTTCAAAATTGCGAGAATTCCGTCTCGCTCTTCTTGGGCTGAAGACTAGTCCTGCGATGCTAACTAGCCTTTCACAGGCCGCTGAGGCAGGTAGAGGTGTGTTCAGCTTCACACACAGCTTGCGCCCAGCTGGGAAGGATTTCCCTAATGCTAACCCTAATGCTAACACTAATGCTGCGCTCTCGCGGCTCCTGTCAATCCTATGGTGTGGTGGCTAGCTAACGTTAAGTTAGCTAACGTTAGCCAACTAGTTCTGCAATGATTATAGCTAAGATGACTCAAATCAACAAAATCTCACAACTGTCAACACTTCCTCAGCTCACTAACTCACTAGCGATCCACGGGTGTTGGTCTTCGTCACCACCGTAGTTTGTTGCGGGAGTAGCAGGTGCTTCCATTTCTGCTTCCATCATGAAATCAGTCATCGTAGAGTGGAATTCTACTCGTGTTGTCGCTTGTAGCTATAGCATATAGCATCCTGGGCATCACTGGGAATCAAAACACCGCGGCTTTGAGAGCACTTGTTTGCGCATTAACAATTGCGCATTAACGTGATTAACCAATGATTTAACTTGCAAGCTAGGACCACTGATTCACCAAACCTGCTTGCTTGCAGTCTCTGTTCCACCACAGTCCCCGACGTTGGTCTCATGATTCATTTTTTTTCTAAAGATAGATTTGATTTTGTAGCGAGTAACGAAGGTTTCAGGGGAAATGTATCGGAGTAAAAGTATCAGTTTTCTTTGCAAAATGTAGTGAAGTAAAAGTAAAAGTCAACAGAAATATAAATAGTAAAGTAAAGTACAGATATCCAAAAAAACGACTTCAGTACAGTAACAAAGTATTTCTACTTCGTTACTATACACCACTGTGTACGACACAAATAGGCCGATGTCATTAATCCAGCGTCTCAGGAGCACAACAGCAGCCCATGTGTTAAAGACAAAACAGGAGTTGCTGCAGCTTCCTGTACACAAATGAATCCATCATTGTTCAAAGTAACAAAAGAACATAGTTTGCATTTCTGCTTTTTTGCTGTATTGAACCGTGCCGTACCGAACTGTGGCACCACTGTATCGTATTGAATTGAACCGAGAATTTTGTGAACCGTTACACCCCTATCTATGGTATATTGCTATGGGATATCTGATTATCTGATGAGACAAATATCATTTTTTATAACCGTTAGCATACTGACACTTTGAGACCGTGAGACAAACTGGGACGTCTGGTTACTGTAGACTGACAGGTGTAATGATTTATGGTAACAGCAGCCCTGCTGTTGTGACAGCAACACACATCTGTTCATTAGTGAATAAGACTAAATAAGATGTCTCATCTTATTTAGTATCTCTACTGTAATAGGCATACATGTGACCTCAATGGACTCCTAATGTTTGATTCAGCAGATGTTGCCAAACAGCTTTTTTTCTTACCTTTACTCCCAACCTGCTCTTTAAAACATACACAGAGTTGTATGCATCTGACAAACAAATCCAAATTATGGGACGAACTAGACATTTTGTTATTTCTTTTTAATGGATTTGTTTCCTTGTTTGATCTTGTTTGGATTACGTAACAATGTAAGGGGACATACACAAAGCACAACATGTGAACACACGGCAAATATGCACACACCCATGAGCAATCTGCATGACCATGAAAACTGCATTACCATCATTTCATGTTGACAGAAATGAGGAGAGAGAAGTGAAGCAAGTGAAAAATGTTGAACGTAGGCCGCAGCAAAGAGCGCCAAAGGGATTTCTCTTAATTCTGTAGCACGCCAACTAATCGGTTTAATCTTCCCCCCCCCCCCCCTTCCTGCTCTCATTCTAGTGTGCATGCGTGAGTGTGTGTGTGTGTCTGTGTGTGTGTGTGTGTCGTACAGAACCACAAGAGAGCCTGTATCACTGTTGCTGCACAATAGGTCATTTTCTCATGGTAGTGCTGCCATTAATCATCACTTTACTGAACACACGTTCAGTGACCTGTCACAACTACTATTTATGTAACCCAGTCTATTTGAAATGGACTGTGATAGTTGATGACTCACATGCTGCAAGAGGGCCTCGAAACTGTCAGAGATAGACTCTGTCTTTGTGACAGCGAAAGAGGGGTTTGAAATAAAAAAAGATCTTTGAGTGCAGCCACGTTCAACAAAATTGCACTATTGAAGCCTCGAGTTTGGCATTTTGACCACCGCCAACTTGGCTTTTTACAACCAGTGAACGTAAGTGACCATATTTGGACGACGAGATACGGCTCTGGAAGCGACTTGTTAATCACAAGGTAGCCACGCCCCTAAAGCACACCCTGCTTTATGGTCTATTTGACTCTAAATGGGACCATAATTTACTAAATGAACATCATATTGAATTGAAGACTTCTATACAATCAGACCTCTTAATGCAACCAGAAGAGTCGGTATCTAACGGTGTTGTCCTCGCTGACATATGTGTCTGTGGTTGGACAACTGAACTAATCAGAACTTTGAAGGCTTTGAAGGTTTTGGGCCCCCTGAGACCAAACGGCCCTGAGTTTGGGGTACGCGTTACCAAATTGTGATGGCCCAAGGTATAGGCTAACCAGAAACACTTGTGAGAGAGAAAGGGAGCAGAAAAAATCCTGAGGTCTTGACTTGGCCTCATTAGTAAATCAATTATTGATAGTAGCAATAGGTACAATTTATAATCCCGTTATAGAGGGTGCCTTATTTAAAAGAGGCACTTTTTTTCAAGCATGTTTTATGAAAGAATAAAACCAAAAAAACTTCTTGACAATAAATCATAATTAAACTGAAGTAAGCCGAGCATAACTGATGGGCCCTGCTTTATGAAACACATACACCTCTTTAATTCCATTTGTTTATGGTGACTATCCATACATTATGCGCCTCCTCTCACGTCTTTGCCATGATGCTCAAACTGCAGAGCCCTCGCTGTCACCTCATACCAATAAAAGCAAAGAACGGCTCAAATGTGTCAACTTGCGGTGCAAAAAGTATTCCAGTTGCTGTGAGGTTGCACGAGGTCGACCTCACAAGTGTTCTGCACCCACAAAGACAGGTACAGTATGGCTGGTTATACTCGCGCCTTGAAACGCATGCGATAAAACACCCTTTAAGTGCATTTGAACTCCAGGAACCTTTTTGTACGACTCAACAACCAGCCGGACGTAAAATCGGCTGCGCATCTTAACCTTGCAAATTTGACTTATTTCATTATTCATGCTATCAGTGGCTGCTCTCTTTTGCTTTCTAACTGGCACACTGTTGTGCTTGGGCTACTTGTGCTAATGAAATGACAGGAACACTCATAGATTAAAAAAAATAAAAAAACGCAGAAATGCTTTATTGCTGATAGGGCGCGCAAAGACAAAACACAAACTCGACACATGCGCTGGTGTTTTCGCACAAACGCATGCAAGCAAACACAGAAATGTACATGCATCCACTCGCAGTTACACATGTGCATGGTTCACACATTCACATGTGTGCATGAATACAAATATACTGTTTGTATGCGCATACACAGTACATGGCTTCAAGCTCCACACACACACACACATTAACACTTTTGCATACATGCTTTTCCTATATATATATATATATATATATATATATATACACACAATTTCATAGTTCTTGCTGGTGTGTGACAATCCTGTCAGAGGAGGAGGAGGAGGCGGAGGAGGCTTGAGCCATGCCGAGTGGTGATTGGCCGTTGCCATACCAACGAGGGAGGGCCTGGTAGGGGGAGGAGCCAGGGGCTGATTATAAAACACTTGTGAGCAGCAGTTTCTCCTCTCCGGAGTGGTCCCCACTGTTTACTCTTCCCCGTCATCTGGCCAGTGAGGCAGCTCGCAGTGCTTCTGCTACAGAGGACAGAGGGTGAGCCATCGCAGGGACTCGTGGACACCCCCCCCCCCCCCCCCCGCATCTTGTGGATTTTACCTCAGCGTGAGTGACACCTGCAGGAGAGGGAAACCTGAGTGGAGAGGCCCCGGAGTCTGCTCCCCGGTGCTGCCCCCCCACCCCAGTCCCCATCCTCTGGCCCTCCTGGATGACCTCTTCTCCTCTGTAAGTAGCACTGCTGCAGCCACATCCACTCACACGTCGTCATGAAGACCTAAGAGCATGGGATCAGGGATCGGCAGGGGAGTCAGAGACGGGGGGTACATAGTGCTGTACTTTATTCATTATTTGTACTATCTTCATTATTTTCTTTTTCAGGATTCCTCGGGGGCTTCCTGCGCTCCATTGGTTGCTTTACTCTCTTTTTTTGGCCTGAAGATCTTTAATGGCACTCTGCATGTAATGAAATTCTGATGTTACATCGCGGTGCAAAATATGAAACGGGTGTAAATTGGATTACACTGTAACCTGATAATGGGAGAAAAGCACATATTGTTCCATACCAAACTATTGGCCACATTAGTTCTGTGACTGATGGGAATCACCAAGATAAAGTCATGCTGTTACTTATGATAACAATGTGAAACATTATGGGAATAGATGAGGCCTCTGTTTTCTGTCTTAATTTGGAAGTGTATGTTGCTTCTGTGTCCCCCGCTGCCATAAGAACATCTTAAGATATGTGAAAGCACAACACCCACAAGCCCACTCACTCGTCCACCTCTCTCCTCTCTGATAAGCCTCATGCATTAGTACTCTCATGTAAACTGACACTGGGCCAGTAGTAATGCAGGAAGGCCCACTCAAATACACAGAGGTCTGTCCATAGCCACTGTACACACAGCGCTGTTTACCTATAAGGGCCTGCGGGTGTAAATGTGTATGTGTGTGTGTGTGTGTGTGTGTGTGTGCGCAACTAGTTCCCTTTTCATATCACGGTCATGCGTTGCTGAATCATGCAGAGTTCAGACTGCAGCGTTGCTGACGCCATCACCAAAATAAATAGCCAGTTAGTGAGAAGTTGCTCATGTGTTGCATGTTGAACACACTAAGAACTCTGAAGTAATGTGTTAAGTCATTACTATAATGATGTTTAAGGGTCTTCAAAAGCATCAAAATGCCCCATAAGAGATTTTTCTTATCCACATTACAGCATGTATGTTTGTTTTGAATTAGGTTTTTTTATCATGCAGCTATGACATTTGATAATAACATAGGCAGATTCTTAAACTGACAATGTGATAAACCTCTCTTCCAAACAGCATTCGTCCAATGATGGCGAAGCATAAGTAACTAGACATGGCATGTTCATCCAGCTTCAGCTTTTATCAACATGCTGTAGCAGTGTGCATGCATGGAGCTTTATAGGAGTAATGTCCAGTACAACCCAAGGGGTCACAAGGTTGTGCAATTTTTTCTTTTTTTTAAATAGTGAAAACACAAGAGCAAAGGTATCAGGAATGGATTAATCAGTGTGTTGTATCTGCTCTGGCGTAAGCCGTTGGCGTTAGCCTTGCTAACTAGCTTACCGCCTACATTTTTGTTATGTCCAGAGCCACAGAGTTCTATATCATTAGCTAACTATTATTTTGTGTGATCACGAGTGACGTTAAAAAAAAATTCCCATTTAAGAGCAACACGTTTACAGCGTGGTTTACTAGTATGGCTGCAACTACATCAAAGTTTAAGCTAACGTCAGTAGCTCTGTCCTGCTCTTTATTGGGGTTGTGAAGGTTTTGCTCTAACGCCAACCTTTAGCCTCAGTCTTTTGGCTTGATATCATGAGTGTATTTGGAAAAGAGTCAGTAAAAAGAAAAGTAAACGTTGATTAGCTCACTAGCTAGAGTTGATTTAATCGACCAGCGACAGTTGTCAGCTGGCAAAATAGAAAAAACAGTTTTTGTCTACTCCGTCTAAAATCATACGCATGTAAAAAATGTTCAAGATGCATAGTTTTACAGTTATAGTGATAGTAATTGGAATCTTGCTTATAGGTTGAATTAATTACATGTAATAAAGCATAATTTGTTAATAAATCAAATGAAATTAGACAAACTGAATGTTGGAGTTTCAAAAATAAAAGCGTGACTGGCAACAGTGTTGTACGCCACAAGTTAAATATAGAGCACTGACTTTAGACCCCAACTACACTGAGTATACACTGAATGGTGCCAAACATAGCCATCATAATAATGAACATGTCATTCTTTCTGTCCTTTTTTTAGTATTCTGTCTTTGCCAGCTTTCAGTCTTTAGTTTGCTTTTCAAAGTGGTCCTAATCTTAATTCCAGTTATCCTTATGCCACTTGCAGAGCCCATGTATACCTGCCTCGCATGATAACAGCACAATTACCTTTTTGAACAGCCTGGCACTGTCATTTAGGTCCAAAGTTGCAATCTTTTACCTTGACACGCTCCCGGCTGAAGCACAATTGCAATGTTTACGCAAACAGATTATTATTGCGGACCGGATTCCTCGCACGGCCCTGGGCCCACTCAGCCATGATAACGCAAAGATAGACCCTGCCATTTTTAACGAGCCCCCTCTCACAGATGAACAAACACATGCAAACATTTGGTCAAACGCAGCAAATGGAAAGCAGTTTGTGGTTTACACAGCGCAGAGTCTACTGGCTACTGTGATGAAACACTGACAGGTTAAATGCTTCGGCAAGCAAGCGTCTTTTGTGAAAATAAAACCATCATTTCACAACCTGAGACTCCAATGCGTTCTCATTGTGTGTCTAAATTACACTGCGATGGCTGTATTCTAGTGGTGGAGCCTGTTTTCCCCAACAACACAAAGACAACTAACACACGATATCGTCAGTGCTTCTGCATGAAGAGGGAACTGTGTGGGCAGTGTGTTTTATGTAGGTCAGTGACACTACATAATTACTAGGTAAAGCAGTTTACCTCTTATTGTTGCCATTTAGAGATGCTAGCATGCAAAATTGCCAGTAGCACTGAGGAACATTGTGTTCCTGTGTCTTCTTGTTACTTTCCATTCTCTACTCTTTTGTTCGCTCACTCCTTACAGGAATGCTCTACTGAGTATTCTTGTAAATATACAAAAATTGTGTTTATATTCAGTGTTACTCTCCAAAACCCAATGTGTGAATGCACTTCCTTTCTCATAAAACAATTGCTAAGCCGATCTTTGATGGTGTGTTTTTTAATAGGAGCGCAAGTCCTCGTTTGATGCGTGTGGACGTTTGGGGCGGGCTGATTGGCTCAAGGTATTGCCACATGCAGCTTATCACTCGTTGACGAAGAGGAGTTCGGTTGTAACCTTGTATTTCCAGCATCCAGCAGCAAAAGTGAACCACAGTCAATGAGCCTGGAAAGGCCCGCTGCGAATCACATGCTCGAGCCCCGAAGCCCCGCCCCCGCTGCTGCACAAAGCGCTGTTCACTTGTTTCATTAATATCGAACATGTTGCGTGTCCAAACTGCACCAGCTTCGACACTGTGCGGCCTTGGGTCCCCGGCAATATATCCGCTAAGTGTAAAGCAGATCGGATGAAAGGTTCTCGAGATATCGGAATAACACACAGACAGGCAGAGAGTTCTTTCTTTACAGTTGGATCACTAGCTTGGAGTCTTCTTCTCCCTGTCTCTCTTGGCATATTTCTGTACTTATTTGCACATTGCAACAGCCAACTGTTGATCAGCTAAATAGCATGAGGATTACCGCATAAAGAAATGATCATAAGGAATCACCATTGGTACATTTAATATATTGTTTGTACGTTTCAGCTCCTGCACTGCAACGTGATTGGATGCTGTCTTTGTGTGCACGAGCTGCCAGGGTCGCATTGACTGACTAAAAAAAGACCGAAAGGACCCAAGTGTTGCTGGGCATGCTTTCCTCACTCACGCCCAATATGCTTGAAAAGCTCTTCACAGGTGGGCAGGTGGTGCATTCACAGACGAGGCATCCAGCTCATTTAAAAATGTCCACCCTATCTGTGGCTGCCAACGCTTTAGAATGAACTATGTTGTTTTCAGGGAACACTGGACAAACAAAAATTGTGTTCAGCACTGTCTGGTGAAGAGAAGCTGATTGATGAGCAGTTGGGCATCCTGGCGTCCAGGGATCGCTCCTCTGGGCAGGAGGGTATAGCCAGTGTGTTCTTTGCGCTTTGCATAATTGCAGGCTTCTGTCTCCCAAGTTGCTAGTATAGTGCTGCAGCTGTGATAGGTTGGCTCGCACACCGACAGAGACAGACGCCACCTTGGGAAATCTAAATAATGTGTTGTGTGCGAGTGGTGTGAGGAAAGCTGTGAGTCATGGAGCCGCTCCTGTCAGACCATAAGCCAGAACCCGAGGGAAAACGTCCCAACAGCCAACACATCAGAAAAATCACATACACATAATGTGACGTAAAGCCATCTGACGGATGTAAAGGTCTAAAACTCTGATGCACGTTTTTGACATTAAACTGAAATAGATTTCTATCTAAAGTCATGTGTAACTAATTTAATGGTCATGGTTTATTTGTCTGCTTCGTCAAACAACTCAAAAGTAATTCTGAAGTACATAACAATGTAAGACAGACCTAATGATCACCAATGGGTTTGGCAAATAAAGATAAAATGTGTCAGCAGCCGGACAGGCGATGAATACTTCACTGGTATATTCAGCTCCGATCTACCACTAAGTCTACATCAATACACAACCACCTGATTCAAGCCACCCACCTACTAACGAAATGACTACACTATGAGAAATGACCCACTCTATTATGTGTATTGTATTTACAATCTGCAAAATAACCACACAATCTTGCTTCTAGTTTAAGAAGCTGAAGTGCTCGCTGATGGTAAAGTTACTGGCAGGAACAATCGGTAAGTAATGCTAACAGTAGCTGCTAACACCTCTTCCGAAGCCCAAAGTCCAACCAGTGAAAGGCAATAACTGAGGCCTTGAGATGGTTTATTTAGGACGAAATGCAACCATTTAGAGTTGTTTAAAATACCACTTTAACTTATTATCACTCCCAACTCCTCAAATATTGTTGTTTGGTCAGAGGCCCGATGTTGGGAACTATGACGCACAGTACTCCCGTCAGTTTTGGACGTGTCAGCAACGGCGTGTCAGTTTTGCCCTCGTTACATGCATACAGTGTCTTTTCAAAATAAACTTCCAACATAGGTTTAGGT